TTTGAAATGTAATAATAAAACAGACGGAAAATACCTGATTCTTTCTCTGGTATAATCTGCTTCTTTTATCGGACGGCGAAAAACAGCAAAACTTTGCCTCGCACGCCGCGAAAAACAATGAAATTTGAAGTAAGACTAAATCTATGAACAAATTTAATAAAGATTTACATAATCAAAACAGAAATATTGAAAAAAAATGAAGAGATTACCATAAAAACGCGTCTCAAACACTGAAATTCATTTTTCGCCATATAAAATTATAGCAGAATGATTTGTTTTTGCATAATAAGCCTCGTTTTCGTCATAGATTATAGATCATACCAGATGTCTCACTGTGTATCTATCTCTATGATTTTCGTGTCCGCGATTTTCGCAAGGCTATCACGCCAGATGACGCGTGCGACACTTACTGCCAAAATGGCGCTTACTGCCAAAAGGCGTGATTGCTCACGTTTCATGGCGTGGATTACACTTACTGCCAAAATGGCGGCCAATTCGTGCTCATAAAAAATCGCGGACACAATTTTGGCTGAGTGAGACATCTGGTATGATCTATAATCTATGTTTTCGTGCAGTTTAAGGCGCGGTTACTAAGGTTCGCAATTGGTCTATGGCAATGAAAACAACAGCATTCTTTGAAAACCCGTGTTTAGTTAACGTTGTTTAAATGTTAGGGATGGGCCAAATACCAAATACTCGATACTATCGATACCAGGGTTTTGACGAAAAGTTTCGATACTGGCAAGATTTCTGCGCCTGCGATAATTTTCATTTTGGTCAGCGGCATTATCATGAAAAAACATTTGGTTATAGGTTATAGATTATAGATTCATGTCTCGCTATTTATGAATGCTAATCCTCACCCTAACCGCCAACCCTAACTCATAAACAGCGCAGAGGCGTAGCTGGGGCTGGGGGGGGGGGCGCCCCCCTCCCCCCCTGGCAACATTTTGCCCCCCTCTGGCAAAATTTTGGGGGCCCCTTGATAAAATGCATTGTACTAGTAAGGGTACCTGCAAAGGTAGGGATTGCTGCGGGAATCAAGAGCAAATAGAACTAAAAATAGTACAAGTTACATAAAGCATGCAGTTATTACTCGCAGCGAGCCGGCGACTTGTGAGCACTGTGGTCGGAGCTTAAGGAATACGGAGTCGATTCATGCCATGACTGATGAGTGTCTGAGAAAAAGCAATGCATTTGTTGCCAAGACCATGCACGCACGGCCGGTTCAAGAGCAATACTATGATATCGCAGATTACAGATAGGCGTATTAATGTTAATGTTAATGTTTATTCACTAAATCATTAGCAAGAATATATAATTTCAAGATGAAGTGGAATTTGTTGAATTTAATACGCGCTGCTTTAGTACGCGATATTATTAAATACAAACGACAAAGCATTCTTAAGACGTACAGGTAAATTATATAACATAAGATTTTGCTATCTAATTTCATAGTATTAAGGGAAGCCTCACATATCGATTTTGTCCATGAGAAACGTCATATGTTCGTTTCTCTGGAGACCCCCCCCCTCCCCCCCCTTAGAAACGTCACACATAGTTATCGATATTTTGTTCTTACAGTACACTATGAGTACACATAAGGTAATTTTCTACTATTTTTTTTGGTCGGCTATTGGCGATGCTTCCGCGAGGAATATGTCATCTTCTGCTGACATACTCTTTTTTTATTAATATATATATATATATATATATAATATATATATATATATATACATATATATATAGACTGCTGTTTGTATCAAATTGTTTTCTTTTTTATATTCTGCAAAGATAAAAACTATCGAATTTTTCCATGATGTTTACAGAGAAACGTCACAGCTGCCAACCCCCCACCCCCAAACGAGGTCGGGAATCTTCGAGTTAAGCCCTTCGAGTTAAGCCCCTCGAGTTAAGCCCTTTTCGAGTTAAGCCCCGACCACGCCCTGTTTTGCCAAGACCACGCCCTTTTTCAAAAAGGGCTTAACTCGAAGAACGAAACACGATTTGGGTTATTCGAGTTAAGCCCCGGGGCTTAACTCTAAGTTTGACAAAAAAGTTGTTGCTCGAGTTAAGCCCCGACTTTTGAAGTATGTCAACGAGTGCAATATTAAATTGTCAAATTTTCAATACAAAAAAGCCAAAGCACAGAAATTTTCCCAAAAAGAACTTATATATCGCTAATGTAATACGATTATCAAAAACAAACACAACTATTATCGTATTTTAGGTATATTTTAGGTATATTCATGGGCGTACCGGAAGGAAAAAATTAGGGGGGCGGAAAGAAAATTGCCCGACTTTTCGGGATTTTGCCCGACTAGTACCAAAAATTTTTTTCCGGTCAGTGTACCATTTTAGGGGTCAAAAAAATTTTCCGGACAACCAATATTTTTCGGAACATACACAAAATTTTCGAAAAATCACAAAATTTACCAAGAAATTGACTTAATTTTAGACATAATTTACAGAATTTGTCACATTTTTTTTTATTGCAAGCCAAAATTGCCCGACTGTTGATCGAATATTGCCCGACTGCCCAAAAAACTGGGGGGGCTGCCGCCCCCCCCGCCCGGTACGCCTATGGGTATATTTTAGGTTTTTCATATTAAATTATTATTAAATTTAACAACAGGTAATTACTTTTAGTGAATCGTTTATCCACAACAAAACAACAAAACAATATTTAAATTATAAAGTAGATAGAATCCTAACTCGTTCCATTTGTTTGAATGTGCACAATATCGACAAATTAACAGTTTTACTGTAACAAAAAAGGTACAACCTTTCCCATCACCTTGAACAAAACTAATCTATTAAGAAAATGATCGAAAATAACAGCGCGTAATAACTAAAGAAAAAGAGAGGAAAGGGAAGGAATTTCGGTATAGAATGATCTGTCTTTGACAATTGGCACCCAGAAACTCACGCCTCATACGCACATGTACAGTAATTTTATTAGCCAAATGAATGGTTATGAATCACGAATGGTTTCATTTGTGTACAAATTATCAGGGGGAGAAATTGTTACATTTGAGTAAAATACCCAAATGTAACAATTTATCCCCGTAATAATGGCGCTACGTCACCATTTCGTTTCTAAAATTACTAATCGCTCAGCAAATATTCCCTTTTTAATAATACAAGTCAACGTAGCGCCATTATTAGGGGGATAAATTGTTACATTTGGGTATTTTACTCAAATGTAACAATTTTTCCCCGTGATAATTTGTTTACCCA